TAAGCATCTTCTGGAGGTACTATTATATAAGTATTTTCTATTATTAATTTATTTATCTTATTATTAATTTTATGTAATGTTAATTTATTATTTAAAGATGCTATATCTGTTCTGTATTTTTGACAATAACAACAAAAAATACAAGAAATACAAGAATAAAGAATAAGTTTTAAATATAATCTCTTGTCTGCTTTTGATTTAGTTTTTTGTGTGAATTCTATTTCAAATATCTTCGCTTATATCTTGAATCTTCTGTATGAACTTTCTTGATATTATATCTTGATATATTATCTTACGTAACAAAAAGGTTATATTTTAATTATATATAAAAGTTTTTAATTTTATTAAAATATTTTTATTTTTAATTATAATTTAATTAAAATTCTTTAGTTTAATATATATTTTTTGAAATTTTTGCTAAATAACTTATTTTAATTATGAATAAAGATAATTAATTTTTACTAATTATTAATTAATAAAAATTAATTATTTTTATTTATAATTAAAACAAGTTATTTAGCAAAAAATTCAAAAATCTGGAATAATATATATAATAAAAAACAGATATTTTACTAATTATAATTAATAAAAAATTTCAGGTATTATATTTTTTTGATTGCTATTATATTTTTAAAAAATTGATTAAAAAATTTTTTAATAAGTTATTTTATATATTATTCTTAAATAAGTTTGTTTATTAGATTATAAGAAATTTTTAGTAAAAAATTTGATAAAAATTTTCATTGTGTAATAAAGAAATGTATATATATATAAAAAGTTTTATATTTTTTAAATAATTTTTTATTGAATTATAGTAAAATTTAAAAAGTCAAGTTTTTTTAGTTTTTTTGTCACTGACTGTATATGTATATTAAAATCATCTCTTTATAAGAATAATCACTCTATAAGAATTAGATTTTCTGGCCCAACTGTGTTCTTATAGAGAGGTACAACTGTACTTGTCTTGGAGCTAGTGTTAAATTGACACCAAGAAATAAGTATTATTTTTATGAAGGTAATACAAATTATCAATTATACGAATAATAATGTTTTAGTTTAGGAAGCTCAAATGGTTGTGCACTTTGTGATCGACTAGGAAGCTATCTATCCATAATATTGCGGTGGTTGTGGAGTCGTCTGTTGTTGTCTTGATGAATTTGGTTGATTTCCATTATTGTTATTAAAATTGTCCTTCACACGATCTAACGCATCCAAAAACTTAACATCAATTATATATTTTCTCAAAAAGAGCTCGAGTGCTTCAAATCGTTGCTCTAAATGTTGAACCGCAGGATCTTGTGACTGTGGGATTAAATTACTTTCCGGATCATCGGATAACTCGAATTTCGCATTTCCAGTTAATGGTATCACGGGAAACGTTTTACGGAATTGAGATTTTGCTTTTTGCGAGAATATGCAACAGAATGTTTGTGCGCAGCCCCAGGGTCTTTGTACGCTGTTCCCTATTTATTTAAATTGTGAGATGACGATATATACATGTGTCTAAAGCTAATAAAAAACTTTACCGAAACATAGTGTATATATCCCAGCGGCAAGACCCCATGCACCGCCAAATAAAGCAAACGAACTAAATACCTAGATAAATAATTACTAATAAACTAGATTTTCTTTGTCTCCATAATTATGAATATTGCTGCTTACCGTTTTTGACCTATAAAAAAAGAACGAAACCAATCAATAATCCCGTCAACAACTAGATTATGGTAATAGTTAAAATAGTTTTTTTTCACCTTTGTTCAGTTTCGACCGTGACGAAAAGGCTTTTAGCTTGAATACTTACAATAGCAAAGTTAAGTGGATCATTGAAACCATCATATTTGGAAAGCGAGCCGGTTACTATAAAAATAATAAAATAACATATTATTTCTGTTTTGTATTTTTGATTTTAGTTAAAATATCCTGTGATTTCTTACCAACATTAGAATTAATGTAATATTCTTTATTATGCTCTGGCGGTATTCCAAAATCTATCCATCGACTTGGCTGGATAATTTCCTTGATTGATCTTGTATATGCAAGGCTTGCATGCTGTAATTAAAAAAGAATTTTTAAATTGAATCCAACTAACTATCTTTTCATTTAGTAAGAGCATAAAGATACGTAGATATGAGTTTCTTACGACATCATACTATGTATATAAAATAAAAAAAGTTAATTGAACATTTTTAGTGAGTTTTTATTATCTTATAAACAGATGAGATAGCAAGCATACATCAATATTATAAGAATTCATTCCATAAATTGACGTTTGATAATCAGAATTGGGATTTGCCTCTGAATTAAATAAATACATTATTAATGTGTGTGCAAAAAATCACTAATTTTAAAGGTTACCTGCATCATAAGCTATCAGAACCAAAACTCCCGGCTTAGAAGTATTAAAGTTAGGGTCTTTGATTGTAATCTGAAAATGTAAAAAATTAATCCCCTTTTCATGACCAAGTGGAGACATCAGGAAAGAACCATCATTTGAAAAGTTTGCGTAGAAAAGTTCATCATCATGATCGTATGTGATTGCGTTTATACAATCGGAAGAAGTTGTGTAATCTTTTATAATAACAGGTTTAAATTTTTATTTTACTTAAATATAGTAATGACAATGGTACTATTTAAATAATTACCACCGAGAAAAGCAAAACAGGTAAGATTGAAGTCGTACGACATTCCCAAACTTAAATCTAACATTCATTTCAGTAAAAGTCAAAAGAAGAATTACATGAGAATAGCAAATTAGGTTAAAGCGTAAAAAACCTGGAGCTGGCAAAAAATTCACCGGCACAATCGTTTGCTTGATTACTGGATTATCATTTGCTATATCAATTGCAAGTATAGCTAAATACCCTGACAACACTGCAATTATCAATATCATTGTACATGCGCGAAGACAAAGCAAATGAATCGGTTCACTTCTTCGATATCCCTGGAAAATTGCGTCGAGAAACATTTTTTGTATTTGTTATACACTTCTCTAACTTCCTCATATCATATATATATAATCACAGTCGTATTTTTTCATAATTCAGATTTAATGAAATAAGAAAATCCGTTATCTTTTTGTGTTCTTTTTTAGTACATGTAATAGTCAAAGCTGTATACATATATAGTAACTAGGTACATGTTTATTTTGTGTGGCTTCGTGTAAATATTGTGCCATAAACAGGGTTTTTCAACGAAATTGATTCGAGTGAATAAGCTAAACAGATAACGATTGAAACTATAGCGATAGTCTTTTTTAATGAAACAATTATCGGTGCGTTCTAAGTAGATTTTAAACACAATAACTTTTGACATTGAATGGATTACACGTAATTTATCAAGTTCTTTTTTGGAGATTTCTTTTAGTTTTTAACAAACAGCTCGTAAAAGATTTAATGAATGTTAGGCAAAAGAATTAAAGAGCTACGTATCTTTCAATGCATAAGATGAATGAACAAATTTGAAAACATAGTTGTAAAGCTAACTTTATAGTAACGATCATTCTTGGTGTGAAGGCCTAATAAACTTTGCTCGTAAATTTTGCATCATACCATATACATGTAGTAGAAACTATGTTATCGAAGCCTGTTAACTTTTCGTAGACCCCAGAAATTTCTGAGGACAAAGAAGGAGGCTGTAACAGATATTACGTAATATCCTTGGGGAAAGGGGTGTTAACAAATTTTATGTTATATTAATATATTATAGTCACATGTTTTAAATACTTTACTAAATGGATATTATGTAATACCTGTCACAGCCCTAAAGATAAAGTAAATACTGATTATTGATGCTTTTTATGGTAGAACTTCCATATCGAGCTAAAATTTTAATTTATAATGGCGTGTTGCCAATATTTTTAAAGCAAACATTATCTAAAATTTGGTGGTAATGCTTATTAGCAATTGTTAGTATTTTGTGTTCAGATCGATGTTCCTAAAATACATAAAAAATAATTTTTTATTTTAAAATGCAGTCAACTCTGGTTACAATAACACCATCACTTTGGGTTATTATATTCATATGCAATCATGTATATAGATATATCTCTAATAAAATTATGTAAAATATATGTAAATTTATAATTTTTTAAGGCATATCTTAATATGACTTCTTATATTATTTTTAGTATTTTATATATTTTAATTTAATAATAATGAAGAAAAAAGATTTTTTTTGAAAAAATAAAATTTGCAACTTTAAAAATCAAGTTATCATTTTTTAGATATCATCGTTATAATTAACGATTTTATATAATATTTTTAATAACAATCAAGAATGTATTTAAATTTCAGTCTGAGCTTAATGCAGGCTGTGATTTGAAATAAAATGCATAGGCATTATTTCATGAAAATACAGTAAATTTTACCAAGTTATTTGATTTTGATAAATACTTCTTATATATTTCAAATTCTAACAAAACAAATCAGCAATCATGAAGAAATAAAGAATTAGAATTCAAAAATATAAATATTTGATTATATAGAATTTGTAAAAATTACTATATAGTAATTTTCATAATTATAATACTAGCGAATTAATTTTATTAATAAAATACAGTCATATTTTTCTATAAAAACACAGCTAAAAGCCCACAATTTTTTCAATGTACTAGAGAAAATTGAATTTTTTCTCTTATCCACATAAATAATATTATTAACATCAACTTTATTATTAATATTCAAAAAATGAAAATGAAAAAACAAAATAATTATCATACAGAATACTGAAAATATGATTTATATAGAGAGAGATTCTTATATAAATTATTTTTATATAAGAATATATATAATATAATTAAAATTTAATTATTATATAATGAATATTATAATAAATAAAATATGTAATATCTTAATATTCAATAATCAAATTTATATAAAAATATTACTATTTGATTAATCATATCTGAATGAATCAAATAGTAATATTTTTATATAATTCTAATTATTAGATAATAAGATATTATATTTAAATTAATAATTAATTTTAATATATATATATATAATAATATAATATTTAATATAGATCAGTGCAAAAAGATTTATATCTCAAATAAATATTAATAGATTATTTTTTTAAAATAAAATTTTAATTCTGTCTTATTTATTTAAGTTATTAAATATTAAAATTTATTTAAATATAAAAATTTTTATTAATAAAACTTTTTTTAATTATTATTTTTTAAATTATACTATATAAAATTTGATTAAAATTAATATGAAAATTATATAATAAATAATTTAATTATTGATTTGAATCTTAATATTTTTATAATTACTAATTCAATTTTTATAAAATTAAAATATATATATTTATCAAATCTAGAGCAACTTAATTATATAATTTAAAGTTTTAATATTATAAATTAATAATAATAATATATAAAATATTTTTTTTAAAAAAATAATTTTATTTTAGTTTTTTTTAGTAAAGTAATACTTTATTTATTATTAAGTTAAATTATAATAGAATTATTAAAATTATATAAAAAGTTAATTTAGATTATTTTTTATTTAATATAAATATTATAAAGATTAGTTAAAATTTAAATAATTTTTATTAGAAGTAATTATTAATTTTTATATTAAGATAAAAATCTTTTTGCATTGATCTATATTTAATAATTAAAATATTAATAATTAATTTATTTTCTTATAATAAATTAAATAATGATATTTTTATAAGATTTTAATTATTAAATATTAAGATATTATACTTCTTGATATTTAATAATTAAATTTATATTTTTATATAATTCTAATTATTAAAGATTAAAATATTATATTTTTTCTTTATTATATTATTATTTCTTTTTTTATCTTATTTAAAATTTTGAAAATATTAACTATAATATATAATTTTTATATAATATATTCTTATAGAATATTATAATAATTAATATTAATTTTAAAATTATATTTTAATTTATAAAAATATTATTTTTATATAAAAATATTTTAATATATAATTAATTAAAATAAATAAAATATTTTATAGAAAAATATAATTATATAATAAAAATTAAAATTTTTTATATTAAAATTTATAATTTTATTTAAAAATAATTTATATTTTTTAAACTTTCAAAAAAATCTGAAAGTTTAAAAAAAATAAATTCTAAGTTATAAATTATAAATTTTATTTTAATATAAAAATAAAAAATTATTTCTTAAAAAAATTATAAATTTTAATATTAATTTTTATAAATATTAAAAATAAAATTATTATATATATATATATATTTTTTATATAAAATAATTAAAATTATATATTAAAAATATTTTAAATATTATATTATTATATTTAAAAAAATTTATAATAAAATTTTATATAATTTATTTTATATTAAATTATAATATTTTGTATAAAATTTATGATTTTTATTTATTTTTTAATATTAAAACAGAATTAATTCTTGATAATTTGAATAAAAATATTATTAATAATTAAATAATATAAAATATAATATTTTAAATTAATTTAAGAATTAATTTTAATTAAAAATTAAGTTATTTATAATTTTAATATTATTATAAAATTAATTATATTTTATATAATTTAACTTAATTTAAAAATATTAAAAACTTTATTTTATATTTTAATTTTATATTTATACTTATCAATTATTTTTATTATTAAAAAAAAGTTATAATTTAATTATAAGATTTATTATTTAATTATTATTATTTATTATATATAATTAGACTTTTATAATTATATTTTTTATAATTATATTTTTTTAAAATTATCTTTTTTGAATTTTTTATTTATTAATTAATTATAATAAAAAATTTTTTTTATAAAATTTGATTATATATAAAAAAATAAGAATTTGAAAATTTAACAAAAATTATCTAAATAATATAAATATTTATATATTTATATTTTAAAAAAAATATATTTGTTAATGCTAGTGATAGCATCAGATTTTTTATGAAAAAATTTTTAGTATTTCAATATAATCATCTTATTAAAAATATTAATTAGCTATTTTAAAGTAAAATTTTATAAGAAATATTTTTTTTGAATATAAAAAATAGTTTTATATATAAAATTTTGAATTATTATTATTTTTTAAATTTTTTTGATATCATGATTTAATTTATTATTATTTTTATTATATATAATTTTGTAATTTTAGTAATTAATCAAATAATCTAATATTATTACTAATAATAATAAATAAATTTATTCTATATTTTAATATTAATAAAAAATTTATTAAAAAAATATTTAGTATTATTTTTTTAAATTAATTTTTATATTAAAAAATAATTTGAAAAAATAATAAGAAAAATTAATATATATTTTATATTATTATAACAAATTAATAAGTAGATTTTCACTTGAATTTATCTTAATAATATAAGATTGAAAGAGATTGAAATAATTAAAGAGTAAAGAAAGAGAAATTAGGTTATACTTTCAATAATAATAAAGATTTCTAAGATCTGTATTAATATCTATGAATATTATCTTTATAAAAGATAAAATAATAAAAAAAAAATTAAATAAATCAAAAAAATTATAAAGATTAGCTTAGTGAAGTTACTAGTGATTAATATAATTAAAGATTTAAGATGATTAAATAATAAAGCTATTATTAATTAAAAAAAATTATAATTAAAGAAAAGATAAAAATTAAAATATGAAAACTAAATAACTAAATAAAAAATAGGATATAACTTATTTATAGTAGAGATTTTCTACTCTCAAAAAGAATAAAACAAAAAGTATAATTTTATAATCTTCTAGTTATATAATATAATATATCAAATACTTTTTGTTCAGGCTTATTCCAAATATATTCTTGATTTTTATAAAGTAAGACTATAAGTGATAAAATAATTACAGAAAATTCTTTTACAAATTTTCTATAGTAACTAGCAAAATCTAAGAATGATCAAAGCTCAGAGATATTTATTATCTTGGACTAATTATAAATAGTAGCAATTTTGCATTGATCAA